CGGCAAACTCTACATACATGTCGGCAAAAAGCACATGTCGGCAAAACAATTTGTCGGCAAAGTGGTGTCGGCAAAGTGTTACGTCGGCAAAGTTATCTTCGGCAAAGTGATTGCCTCCCGATGAAAAAATCAGGACGATATCTTTTGTTGTATGAGAGTAATAAAGAATTTAAAATAGCTAGTTACTTTTCAATCACCCTGTAGATCGGTGTAATTTTTCACGCTGATTCCGAGTATGATAATCTTATTGCATGAAAGCGCAGTTTTGATGAAGAAAATTGAGAAATACCGGCAGAATTCCAGCCTTTTTGCCCAGAATTTAGTGAAAATGACTTTTCTCGACAAAGGAAAGAAAAGGAAAAAAAGTGCTCTGTAACTTTGTAACTGCTGATATGATGAGTCGAATGAGATAAAATATTTGCCTTTATCGCTTACGTAGAAAAACTAGATAGGTTTACAAAACCGACCTATACGCAGTGCACTGGACGCGATTCGAAGTGCTACCACCAATAGAGTTTTGGGTCTTTAGTTGATTTAACAACTTAGTTCTACTCAGTTTTTTATGCTAAATCTGAAAAAATTATTTTCAGAAGCAAAAAAAGATTAAAGCGGAAAATTTCACACATTTCTAGAGAGAATGAGTTTTTCTCGAAAAGCGGCACCTTTCGAGTATTTCGTATTTTTCGATCGGAAGGAAGCATTCACTGAGGCTAAAATATAGATTTTCGTGATCAGCAGCTCAAGCTCTATCAGATGACGTAAAAACAAAAAGGCAAAAAAAAAATTTTACTTGAAGTTTGACCTGCCCGCATCTTACATAAGCTCCTAAATTGAGAAAAAAACTTTCATTTATTGGAAAGAAAAGCATTATCAAAGATTATCCTAGCTGTATATTATAAATTTAACATTATTATAGATATTTGACGTAATCAATTTTTGGTCATAGATATTTCTAATCCTGGTTCAAAGTATAAAAGTAAAAGATCAATATGATTATGTCTCATGTGTTGATTTTGATGTTGATTATGGCATCAAAAATGCATTCCAATCGATTTTTTAATGCGATTGCTGCTGCTAGTATGTTAGTTTTCAAGTAAACTGTTTTTTTTTCTATTTTTTATTCATTGATTTGGTAGTTGACCATGAAGAGAACATACCCGAAAGAAATTCAGAATCTATGAACACATACAATAGGGTGTTAATTCCAAACACTTATTTAGTTGAATTTGATCGGAACAGTGGTGTTAGAAACTTTCGACAAACTATAATTGAATTTCTTCAAAAGTCTCATGGACTTCCTCGATCGGCCATCAAAATGCGTCAATCGATTTTTTCTTCGTTGTTTTACGGAGCTTCGTTTTCCATAAATAGCAGACATTCAATTGGAATGATCAAGTCGATTCCAGGGGTCATTGCCGTTTATCCGGTGTACTCTATTCCTGGTCCTGAGTCATTGACGGAATACATTCAATCTAAAAGTAGAGACAACGATCCAACTGCTCCAGTTATTGCACATGATTTGACAGGAGTGGGAAATGTTCATGACCAATTGAAAAATTTTGGAAATGGTGTTCGGGTAAAAAAGACACAATTGTTTAATAGAAGAAATAAATAATATCAAGAAGTCAGAAGATTTTTTTAAATGAATAAAATAAAAGTTTTAATCTTTTGGAGTTCGATAAAACTAAATCAAATTTAACTTGATTCGTAGCAGAAAACAAGCTGACCAAACACAAATCTCACATAATACTTTCTTTTTTTCATGTAGGTAGCTGTAATCGACACGGGTATTGATTATAAACATCCTGCTCTGGGAGGATGCTACGGACTAAATTGCAAAGTAGCATTTGGTCTTGGTTAGTTATGATTTTCAGTATTTTGATATTAGAGAAAAAGATTATGAGTCGATTTTTTTCTAGATTTAGTTGGTGATAACTTTAGTTCTCTCAATCCTGTACCAGTTGAGGATAATGATCCAATTGATAATTGTTCGGACAGCTCCCATGGTATTTATTAATAATTAATCAACTTATTGTTTTTCTATAATCATTATTTTATCTTTATATTAATTATCAGGCACTCATGTTGCTGGAATTATTGCTGCCAATGCAACAGAAATAAATGAAACCGGTTTCATTCCTTTCCAGTCATTTGTTGGTGTCGCTCCTCAAGCCATTCTTGGATCGTGTAAGTTGTTAACCTATCCAAACATTAGTCAGTTAGAAGATGTACTTCATTCCATATTCATGACTACAACTAATAGAAGAAAACGAATTTAAAATTTTTTTTTGTTTATGATTCATCCTTGCAGATCGTGTCTTTGGCTGCCTTGCAGACAGCACAACCACAGGTATATATAAGACAAATTGTTTCTAATACGACCATTGTGTCTATAATATTCATTATCAATGATCTTCTATAGATGTTATGACAGCGGCTATCTACCGTGCTTTTCAGGATGGAGCCGATATAAGTAAGTTCTTTGTTTATTGCTTCTGCTATAATGGAATCAATAATGTTAAATATAAAATTTGGATTCTTATATTCAATGGTCTGCTTATTGATTCGTAAATATGTGAAAGTAACACCATCATTGCGCTTGGTTGAGAGTCTTTGAATCTTTTCGCTTCAACATTCAGTCTGGAGTTAAGATTTGATAGGACTATCCATTTTAATCCCATTATTATATATTTAGTTACAATGTCTGTGGGAGGTCATGGTGCTTACAGAGACGGTTCTGACGTTGAAGCTGCTCAACGAGTATCTGAGCAAGGAGGTAATCTTATTCTTTTTCATTAAAAATTTTCTGAACTACTCAGCATTTTATTAGTATACGTCACATTTTCCTTTGGCAATCGCGGAAGTCAAGGTCTTCAAACAGGTGGAAGTCCATCTATTTCTGCAGGTGCCATAGCTGTTGCTTCATTAGACAATTTACGTGCTCCTCGGTACTATCTATTCACTCCTGATGATGAGAAAATTTTCTATTTACCTGGTGCTGCTTTTGGTGGTTGGCAATCTGTTGTACAGTCGGAGGTCGTGGTGAATAGTAAGTATCTTTTTAAAATTAACTATTGATTATAATTTTCTGTCAAAACTAATCTTACCTACAAGATATGACAAACGATGGCTGTTCTGATCCACTAAAGAATGTGACTGGCGCTGTTGTATTGTTTGCTTTCAGAAATGCAGATAGCTGTACTTCTGCTGATCGATGTAATAGAGCGGCAAGAGCTGGAGCAACAGGTTGTTTGATATACAATGTGGGCAGTATTACAGGTATTTGAGTAAACATCCATTTATTCTCTTATTCAGCATAGCTTTCAGGTTCATCATCTATTCCAAGTGGAAGCATCAGTAACAGCGACGGTTTGAAGATTATTGAAATCGTGGCTAAAAATCAATCATCATTATTTACGTTTACAAATTTACTAGACCTTGCTGAGCTTGTGAGTCAGTAGAATTCGTATTAATAGTAATGGTTGATTTCTTAAGAAAACATACATTTGAAATCAATCTCTAATACTATGAAAATTTCTGTAGAACTTATCGAATAGAGTCGAACTTTAAGAGCCAATTGATATTCGTTTTACGCGAAAACTATCCGATATGATTGTTTGCTTCAAGGCTAGAATTATTTTCTTTGTTAGTAGCGCTTTTCTTAAAATAATAGAATATTTCCAAAGTATTAATCTTTCTAATTGTCTTATAAATGAACTAATTTATTTCACGAATAACTTATTTAGGAGATGTTCGAGTGTAATACTTCGAAAAATCATTAGAGAATAAAACTACTTTCTCCATCTTGTGATAATTTCGAATGTCTTTTAAACAATAGCAGATTCGAATAGAAGTCGACATTGTAAAATACCTTTTACAAATCGACGAGATACTAATTTTCTTTTCTATTAATGTGCAGCCGACAGGAGGAACGCCGTCGAGTTTCTCATCAATTGGTCTCACTGGTGACTTGTTGTTCAAACCACAAATTAGTGGCATTGGTGGTTATGTTTACTCAACTATTTCATCTTTTACTGCTAAGAACCAAAACCTTTCTGCCGCTTATGCTGTCAAGTCAGGTACAAGTATGGCAACTCCCTATGTTGCTGGGTACGTATGTAGAATTTTTTAGACAACTTTTATATTGATCTCATTTCTCATTCAAAATTCAGCATGACTTCAGATATAGATGCATACAAAGATAATTCCTTGTGTCATATTATTATTATAGATGCTCCCTACTAAGAATAGTCAAGCATTTTCTCTTATAATCTTTTGGTTCATTTACTACGTAGCTGTTGACAAGATTAATTAATTACATTATCGTCAAAGCTTTCATCCATGTTTTTCCAGAAAACAAATACTGAAAAATTGACTTCAGGGTGTGAAAATGGGTTAATATCTTTTATTTGAGCACCTTACATAGCTATACCAATTCGATCACTTAATTTATATAACGGATATGAGCAAACAAGTTTGCTGCTTTATTTTCTAATTATGCTGAAGATGTTTGCCTATTGCTTAAGAGAGCGTCCACCATAGGATCGAGAAACCCCATACTCTCGAAAATTGTCACCCTCTCATTTTATTAATGGAATCGATAGCCCATGAGGTGAAACTACTAAACCCAAAATATTAGCTCGATTAATCATATAACAAGAAAGTTATGAGGACTACACTGACGACTACTGAGTGATTTAGTCAAAATCCGAACTTTTTAGTGTGATACCCACATCTCCGGCAAAACGTAATCGATTCCTCAACAATCATATAGCATTCGATGGCTCTTCGAACGCTCTACAAAACTAGGTATATGACAGGATAAAATCAAATATTCAGATATGACTTTCGATCAAAATACTGAAATATGACCATCAACCAAAAATCAATATTTGACAAATAACCTCTCCAAATTAGTTCATCCCAGAAATTCGGACCGTGCGTTGGATAGAGCAATAAAAAATCTACAAAATTAACCTAAAAGAAAATTTTTTTAACCCGTAAAAAAAGATTTTTTTAAACATTTTTGTGTCAAAACTCGTGAAAAGTGCTGCTTTTCGCTTAATTTTGGACTTTTTTGTGTGCTCTACATACTAATTAAGTTAAAGTAAATATGATATTCGGAATCAGCATCAAAAACTGAGTCGACTAATATATGTTTCAAACATATTCGCGAACATTTTTTTTCATCCCAAAACTTCACCCCTGGTCCCCCTCAAGGTAGTTGCCTCAAAAAAATATATTTCATCAAAAAGTTATTTTGTCAGTAGGAAACAAGTTCTATGCTTGTAAAATGATACAAAAACACAAAATGGCAGATGACTAAGCAATAAAAACAGCGTTTTGATGAAATATTTTTTTTTTGAGGCAACTACTTTGAGGGGGACCAGGGGTGAAGTTTTGGGATGAAAAAAAATGTTCGCGAATATGTTTGAAACATATGTTAGTCGACTCAGTTTTTGATGCTGATTCCGAATATCATATTTACTTTAACTTAATTAGTATGTAGAGCACACAAAAAAGTCCAAAATTAAGCGAAA